CAGGTTAGCCATCCTCACTCTACACACCACATTCTCCCACTGCTGTCCTCTGGTCTGAGTCTTTGTCCCTTCGCTTGACTGGTGGCTCTGAGTACCTTATGACCCAAAAACCCTGCCATCTGGGATTCCCTCTGTCCATTCCAGAGCCCCTCGCATATGCCTCCATTTTCTTTTATTCACATGGATGATGGGTCCTCATCTCACTTGTAAACCACCCTGCGAAGGTCGAGAGCTGGGTGATGGCTTCTCTCTCACTGACTTTTTGGTGAATGGCTGACATTTCCCAGGAGTGAATTGGATGCAGACCCAGCTCTTTTTTTTAAAGATTTTATTTATTTATTTATTTGGTGGGGGGTGGGAACAGAGGGAAAGGGAGAGGGAGGAGCTGGAGCAGGCTCCATGCCCAGTGTAGAGCCTGACATGGGGCTTGATCTCATGATGGTGAGGTCATGACCTCAACCAAAATCGGGGGTCAGACACTCAACCGACTGAGTCATCCAGGTGCCCCCAGATCCATTCTTGAAGTGTTTCCTGTCCTGTGGCTATAAGACCAAACAGGGAACTAGGCATCTCCAGTCACTCCTACCAAGTGGTTTTGGAGCTGCCATCTGTGTGCCAGATGACAAGACAGATGCAACCTCTGGAGTCGCACACAGGCAACCGCAGCACACTTTGACATCCCTGGATTTCTCCAACCCTGGGGAGTAAGGCCACCTGGAGCTGACTTGTCCAGCAAAGTGACAGTGAGGCCATGAAGCTGAGTAGTAAGTGTGGGGGCAAGAACTTCGGGGAAAGAAAGCACGACTTAGCAGTGCAGGATGGAAACACAGGCTGGTTGCAGAGGGAAGGGCACTGAGAGGTGAGGCTGAAGATGCCTTGGCAGGAGTTCATCCCAGAGGCCATGATCTAGGTCAGTTCTCCAAGTGTGCTCTCTGGACCACATCATCAGCATCTGCTGGGAATTTGTTAGAAATGCAAACTCTCGGGTCCAACCCCAGACCTACTGAAGCAAACACTGGGAGCAGAGCCCAGCACTCTGTTTTAACAAGCCCTCCCCATAGCTCTGACGCTGATTCAAGTTTAAGAGGCACGCATCTACACTGTCTTAAAGAGCTAGGCTGCTTCCTGAAGGGGTGGGAGTTGCCAGAGGATTCAGGCAGGAAAGGGCCTGGGGGAAACAACAATGTGGAAAGTGGGTAGGCTGAACAGGAGCATAGCATGGAAGTACAGAGGGCGGTGGCAAGCATGGTGACAGGGGCCCAGGTGAGAGATGATGGGGGCCTGGCGAAGTAGTGGCAGGGGGACCAAAGAAGTAGACAGATGAAGGCACAGTGCACTGAGGGTAAAAACAGAATTTAGTGGCTGGAGCAAATGGTGGGCCCTTTACTGAGATAAAAGATCTAGTAGATTTTAAGGGTCTAAGATTACTGGGGTTCTTCATGCAGAGGAGCAATGTGGTAGATGCCCACAGCAGTGCACCAGGCACCAGAATAAGAAATCTGTGTGACCTTGGGTATCATTTGATTTCTTTGAGCCAAGTGCTCTCATCTGTCAAATGGGAGGAATGCTAACCTAGTTTGTAGGATGACTGAGAATGATTTGTGACATCCAGCCCTCAGGCAGGGAGCACCTAAAGGACATGCACATCTCTGCATCCCCAGCTCCGAAGCTGCCATCATCAGCACTAATGTGTGTTGGGCATCTCCAAACCCTTTGCATGGACTAGCTCAGTTTTCACCATGGTCACTGATGGGGAAACTGGCATTACAGAGGTTAAGAAATTCACTCCCTGGGGTCTTGTTTGTGTCCCCCTGCTGTACCCCAGTGAGTGTGTGGCCTAAGAAAACATACAAAACAATACACTCACAAACACTGTAAATAAATCAAGATGGAATCCTAAAAAAAATGTTCAAATAACCTGCAAGAAGGTAAGAAAGGAGAAAGAAGAAACAAATCATAAAATGGCAGACTTAAGGGGGTAGGCACAACCCCTAGCACACAGCTGGAGTTGGACAAATGCGGTATTTGCTCTGGAGAGTCTGGAGGGGATGGAGAGGGTGCGTGACTGTGAGTAAGAGGTGGCAGGCAGGATCTGCACTGAAGGGCTCCCCAGACACAGACAGGAGCCTGCACAGAAGTACGAAGGGGTAAAGGGACAGCTCTTTGAGGAAGATTGGAGAAGCCTGGTCTGTCAGGAAGAGCATCTGGAAAGGTCTCTTGACATTTATGTGTTGAGCACCTACTGTGGATTAGATGAAATGTACTAAGCAACTCCCAGTGGGCCAGACACAGGCCGGAGGGAGGCCTCTGGCAGGACCCATGCCCTCTGGGCCTGCCAGAGTACCACTGAGTGAAGTAGTAGCCTAAGAGGGAGTGTTTAGCATCAAACCCATGCCCACTCAAACTGGGCACTGGCGCCAGCATGACAGAGAGCGGCCTAATCCATAAAATATGGCAGTGATTCCTGCCTCCTTGCTGAGGGGCCACATTGGCACCCAGAGAGTCTTGGTTGTGGCCTGCCTCTGTCCACCTTAATGCCCAGTCAGCTGAGCTGGGCCCCTCAGGGCAGAGTCTCTGTTATTTGTTCCTTGTTAACCTTGGAGCTGCCATCCCATTTCTCCACTCTATAGCGTTTTCCTACTCTTGAGCTGAGGCATGGTGGCCAGAAGCCCCAGGGCTTTGGTGCGAAGGAACAGAAAGGTATGTTTTGGCTACAAGCTGGCCAGTCAGCTCAGTATCCCCATGGCTGCCAAGTCTTCATGTGCCAAGTGCTCACATGCACTGGGCTCTTCATTTATGTCTCAGTGGTCTTGTAATGGAAAGTATTTTGACTGACTCTCGATTCAGACTCAGCTAAATCCTTACTCCTCCCCTTATCAGCTGTGTGACCTGGGGCAAATCATTTCTCTGGCCCTGTTTCCTCATCTATCAAATAGGCCCCTACTGAGAAGGAGGTATTACATATCATGTGAGATTCCAAATGGAAAGGGCCTAGAACAAGGCTTGACATGCAGTAGACAGTCCTTGGCAGGTATTTCTATTTCTAATTCAGCTAAACTCCTTCACCTCCAGTCCCAGAAGTACCTTTTCTGATCTGGAGCTATTCCTGCTCTGCAGGCCAAGGGGCCCCCTAGTTAGTGCCAGCTTCCTCAGAGCATTCCTGAAAATTCCTGTGGGCTCAGGAAAAGGAGAACAACAGATTTAATTAACTCCCAGTGACTGGCAGCATCGTGTTTTTATCTGGGCTGCGTCGCCATGGCAGCCTCATGGCAGGGTTGTGGAGGGGGCGGGTGGAGCTATTGTTCTTGCCATTGTCTGTTCTGGAACACAGGCCCAGGAGAAAGGGACTGGCACGGGGACCAAGTGGCACATGGCATAAGGCAGCCAGAGAATCAGACAGGATCCATCTGGGAGAAGTGTGGGGTGGCCCGTGGCCTGGCTTCCCCCCAGCTTGCTGCCAGAACAGTCTGAGACAGCTTGATGTGGACCTCCTGCTTGGAGCTCAGGCCCACCACGGCCCCCAGAGCTAAATATGTGTGTGTGCCTTGGATATGTTGAGGATGGGGGGCTGTCCATGGGGCTCCTGGAAGAGGGGCCCACAAAGTAGCTCAAGCAGCAGCACTCTCCCACCCCTGGCTAGGGTTTTGTGGCCAGGCTTGGGTTCAAATTAAGGCACTGCCATCTGCCCTCTACACAGCTAATTGCCACCTCCCCATCCCCTCCGTCTGCAAAATAGGAATAACTGCAGTTACCCTAAAGGGTTATATGTGAAAACCCTGGGTATAAGGCATTCAAGAAGGGCACCCTTCTGTTCTGCGGGGGTGGTGAACAATCGCCTGCTACCCGTCACTCCACAGTCAGGGCTCCATCCTACATACCTCAGGATGCAAGGTTCCTCTCTAAACCCTGGCTGTAGAGAGGAAGAAGGAGGCAGAACTAGAGGCGCCCATGGGCCAGGTGATACACGTGCAAACGAGCTACTTTTCCTACCCTCTGCAGAAACGTAAAGGAATTGATAAGGCCTACTGGTGCTAGGAGGGTAGGGCCAATGAGGCTGCGAATTGGTAGGAGGCTGGGGAAACAGAGCTGGGATCTGACAGGCGGAGGCGCCTAGAGGAAAGGAAAAAAGGGAACAGCCCACGCCCGGACGTGCAGACAAAAGCAGGCCAGTGGCACGCAGTAACAGCCGGAACGACCCCTCCTGAGCCTCTTCTACAAGAGCGGCGACGACCAGGAGGCCCGCAGTGCGGTCCTAGATGTTCCATGCTTTGCGCGGCCATGGGTAGGAGCGGGTACAAGGCCTAGAGCGGCGGATGCCTAGGGCTAAAGCTGGGCGTCGGTGGGCTGCTTGTGGGGCTATAGGAGGTGGGCCACCCTTTACCCGCCGCAAAGCAACCGCGCAGAAACTCCTCTTCAGCGCCCTGAGGGTCTGTCCACGGGCCTCTGAAACCCTTTCCGAGCTGGGGTACCCCGTGGGGTAGCGAACCTCCCTTGAGTACAGAGGCCGAGACTGGCCTTCGCGCGCCCTCTGCTGGCCTGCCTGGAGTCCCCTCGGCTCAGCTGCGGCGGCGGCCGGGTCTCAGATCCGGGAAAGCCCTACCGGGGAAACCTCGAGGTATGACGTCATCCCCATGGTGACGTCACCGCCCCGGGGGGAGTGCGGGGGTTCCCGCAGAGGAGGCTTCCCCAGAACTGCGCAGGGCACCGGCGCAGGCAGGGAAGTCGTCGGGGCTGCAACGCGCCTTCACCGCGCCCTGTGTCTGTTCTACAGGTCCCGCGCGGCCCCGGGTGAGGCCCACCCGCGCTCCCACCGGCGCCATGGGAAGGAGCGGGCGCCGCTGCTCTTGCCCCCCGCCGGCGCGCGCCGCGACAGGCCCCATGCGGAAGCAGCCAGCCTGAGTCCCAGTGACGCTGGCGCCTGGGTGTCGGCGCGCAGATTTGGGGCCACATCAGAACCCAGTGTCCAGTGGAAGCGGCCGGACCCGCCGCCCGCCGCCGCCATGGTTATGTCCCAGGGCACCTACGCGTTCCTCACGTGCTTCGCCGGTTTCTGGCTCATCTGGGGTCTCATCGTCCTACTCTGCTGCTTCTGCAGCTTCCTGCGCCGCCGCCTCAAACGGCGCCGGGGCTTCGTGAGCAGAACCTCCGCGCCCTCGAGCCTTCGAGCTCGGGCAATGACAACCGGAAGCCCCCCAGGCCTAGCGCCGCCACCACCACCGCAGCGCGGCCGTCTCGAGGCGCCGGCACGCATCAGCACGTGCACGTCCACCCGCTGCTGCACCACGGGCCGGCGCAGCCACACGCACACGCGCACACACACCACCACGCGCTTCCTCATCCGCCGCCCCACCTCTCTCCAGTGCTGACGCAGCAGATTATCCGCGTCAGGTAAGCCAGTTCCCGCCGTGGGCAACGAGGGCCACTGAGAGGTGGGCGGGATCACTACTAACAGGCGAGCCTTCCATGGGACAGCCTCCCAGAGAACCTAGGAGGTAGCGGGCTGGGCTTGGGGTTGGCAGCTGGCCGGAGGCCAGGGACGGGTGGCCTCACCCTCGGAACATTTCCCCACTCCACCTTATGGAATCGGACAAGCCACGCAGTGCTATGAAGAGGCGGTGCTGATGGCCGAGCCGCCGCCGCCCTACAGTGAGGTGCTCACGGACACGCGCGGCCTCTACCGCAAGATCGTCACACCCTTTCTGAGCCGCCGCGACAGCTCGGAGAAACAGGAGCAGCCGCCGCCCAGCTACAAGCCGCTCTTCCTGGACCGGGGCTACACGTCAGCGCTGCACCTGCCCAGCGCTCCGCGGCCAGCGGCCCCCTGCCCTGCGCTCTGTCTGCAGGCGGACCGTGGCCGCCGGGTCTTCCCCAGCTGGACCGACTCGGAACTCAGCAGCCGCGAGCCGCTGGAGCACGGAGCTTGGCGCCTGCCGGTCTCCATCCCCTTGTTCGGGAGGACTACAGCCGTATAGAGGGGCGTCCGGCGTTCCGGGCCTCACCCGCGAACTCGTGGCCTGACTGCGGGGCTTTTTAAACGCTTCCCTTGGACTGCGGGGAGGGGTGGGGAGGGAGGGATTTCTTACCCCGTTTGTTACATTTTGAGGATAATAAAGGTGTGTGATCTGGTTTGGTACAAGCGGAGGGGGCACCCACTGCTTGCGCCCAAGGTTTTGGTAGCCAGGCGTGCCTGGGCCTTGGCGACCCAGAACCTGAACGCGTCTTCTGCCTAAAAACTGACCTGAGGTTGAGGAACTAAACTTCACAGGCTGATTCCCCTGGGAGCTCCAGACCCTACCTTCCCTGCCCGTGAGATCACGGTGAGGGTGCTCCCTGTGGCCTTGGAGGTGGGAAGAGTTGGGAATGGGGGTCAGGGGAGGCGGCACACCACAGATCCGCCCCTGGAGGCCCGGAGCAGCAGGCCTGAAGGGATCTGGATTTCTTTATTAACAGACATGAGCACGACCCGTTACAGAAGTTTGTGCTTTCCAAAAACAGTTACTGAACGTGAAAAAGGAACCCAAGCAAAGAGGGAGGAGTTAGGGAGGGGCCATTTAAGCCCCGGGCCCCACCGATAGCCCTAACCTGATCCGCGCCTAGGGCCTCCAGCTTGGGACCTGCCCAGCAGGAGGGGGGCAGGAAAGGGCCTGGAAGCCGAGGGGCCCCAGCTGGGCCTACTTCCTTTGGGCCAGGCGGGGAGGGGTCAAGAGAAGGGCGGGGAGGGGGTCCCAGGGAGCCAGAGCCCACGAGCCATTTATTGCCATGTTTTAAAATTCGTGCAAAATATCTGAAGCCCTGGACAGAGAATACAAAGTGATATTTTTCCAAGAAACATAAAACTAGGAAAAGAGGTGGGGCATTTTCCCACCAGAGCTCCCCCGACGCCAGGCTCCCACGAAGGGCGAGGCCTCCACCCCGTCCAGCTGAGTGAGCAGGGAGGACTAAGAGCTACAATCTGGTCCGGGCGGGGAGGGGGTAGAATTTGCAACAGCGTCTCAACTACCAACGGGAGGAAAACCAGTCAACTGTACAAGTCTCCTATCAACTTTAAAAAAAAGAGAAAAGCTGTAAAAGTCAGGCCCTGTGGGTGGGGAAGCGGCCAAGTCCCGGGCCAGGGCCGGAATCCGGAGTGGGTGCCAGGCGGAGCTGCTGCGAGTGCAGGCACGGCGGGCCGTCTGGCCAGAGGCCGGCACAGGTGGGCGGCCTTGGCGAGGGCAGCCTGAGGGCGGGCGCCACCGCTAATCACCGCCCTCGAAGCCCTCCTCCTCTTCTGGTACTGGGTCTGCATCCCAGCAGGTGATGTCGATTTCTATGGTGTTGGGAAAGGAGGGAAGATAAGGAGATGGCTCAGCACATCCATGGCTGTTTCCCCAAACCCCTGGGAGCTGTGGCTGTATCCACACTTGAACGCAACACCCCCAAGTGATCGTGTGTGTGTGCGCGCGCGCGCGCATCTTCACACTTGAACCCAGCACCCCTACCGGAACTCCTCCCTATCACCCACCCCAGCACTACCTGGAGGTTTGTTGTAGAACACAGGAGGCGGGGCCTTTGCGCACAGCTCTTCGGATTGGGCGAACTCCTCCTCCTGTGATTGGCTGAAGTACCCCTCACTGGCCTGCAGGAAGAAAGCTCCAGGTCACTGGGCCCCACCCAGGAGGGCTAGGGCTGACCTACCAGGCCTGAGCGTTTCCCCAGCAACCAGTGATTCTATCAGTGGTTTCCAGGGAAACATATGCCTGCCTTGGGCACAAAAGCAGAGATGGCCCAAGGAGGGAGAATGAAATGGAGCCTCCCTCCAATAATATGGGTCTCAGAGAATGGAGGTACTGCCTGCTAGAACCCTGACCACCACCCCTACCACCAGGCTGTCCCTGCCCCACCTGGGTCCCCTCCTTCTGGGTGGTCTCGCCATTGGTCAGCAGGTGGGGCTCTGGCTCTGGCTCCAGCTCTGGCTCCTGATCCAGCTCCTCTAGAGCAGAGGGCAGAGTTGGGACCTGGGAGGTGGCCAGAGGCTCCCCTTCTATTTCCTCTTCTGGGTCACAGAAGGTAGCTGGCGGCTCAGGCAGCTCATCAAAATTGAGAAGGTTGGCACAGCCTTTGCCTGCCAGTGGCAGTGGCTCCTCAACCACCTCATCTAGCAGGGGTACCTCTGCCAGAGTGACCTCGGCACCTGAAGGTGGTGTAGGGACCCTAGGCTCAGCCTGGGATATGGAGGCCTCTTCCCCGTTGCCAGGCCATAGGTCAATGAGGCTGGCAGCGGCAGGGGAAATGGTGTTGGCAACAGCGGTATCGGCAGTGGCAGTGTCGGTTTCAATGGCATCAGCTACCGGGATGTCAGCTGTGGTGGTGTTGGCCATGGCAGGCTCCAGAGGGGCAGCCAGGACAGCCTGCTCTGGAGATGCCATGAACATCAAGTCCTCCGTGGGGCTGCCTTGCCCCTGGGGAGGCTCTGGTGCCTGTGGGGGCTCCTCCATGGGGCCTGCCCAGGCCTGAGGGGCTGTTGCTCTGGCCTCTTTGCTGGTCTCTTCACTATCCAGGCCAGGCTCGGGCTCCTGGGTCTCTGCAATAGCACAAATGCAGGAGAGAGATGTGGTCAGCTCCCTCAGGGAAAGCAGCAGGCCTGGGACAGCCACCCTACTGTACTCTGCCTACCCCCTGACTTCCAGGACAGAAGGCTTCCACTAAGAGCTCCATACAGAGCACCTTCCAGAACACCCACTGGGCCCTGCTGCCCCTTTATCTCCTAGTGTCTTTAAACTGCTCGGCAGCCCTGGGAGGAAGGCCCCATCCGCATTCCAGTGAGAGATACTGAGATTCAGAGATAGCAGGTCTGACTGCAACACCAAGCTTCCTCCCTGCCATAGCTACTGGGAGGCCCAGTGATGGGTGGCCCAGATCCCTAAGGAGTTGTTACTATGGCCACGTGGGGTTCCCAGCCTGGGGACTGGGGAGAGGCCTGGTGCAGCTAGGGTGCAGCCCCTCATTCACCTTGAGGGGGTGGCGGAGGCAGTGGTGGAGGCTGCGAGGACGTGACCTCATCCAGAGCCCGCTCAATCTGTTCAGCGACAGGGGTAGAAGCCGTGCTGGAATCAGATGGGCTCCGGGTGGGGATGGGGGTGGGTGCCATCCTCCGGTGGCTGTCCAGGTGGCTGCCTATGGAACAAACCCCCAGGCTGGTCAGTAAGGGCCAAGGGAGCCAGGTGGGACCAGGATTGTCCACCTTGGGGGCCTGGCCATCACCTCCTGTCTGGAGTCTGGGTAGGGGCTAGGAGCCCCCCAGCCCTTCAGGGGCCAGACCACAGCTCCAGACCCTAGAAGCCAGGTCCCTTGGGACAAGAGCCCCTTCAGGGCCAGGGGAAAGAGGCAGGTAATACCTGCTCTGGGGACAAACACCAGAGATCAGCGGTCAGGATGGGGGAGGGCAGGGGCACTGCTGGGAAGCGGGGCCCTCCTTACCCCACCCCACTGAGGCCTGGGGCTGCTACCTACATGGGAGGGAGGAAGAGAGGTTTGGGGTGCGGTGACAGGTGATATAGGGAAAGGGAGTCCGTGGAGGGGAGGAGGAGGAAGAGGAGGAGGAGGAAGGCCCACTGTCCGATGCCTTTATGAAAGGGCAGTACGGACGACCTGCCGAGAGAGACAGACAGAGAGAGACAGAGGACAAGAGAGGGTCAGTCTCCCCCCCCACCCCCATGAGGCCTCACCCGCCCCCAGGGCTGGCCCTAGAAGTCCAAACTGCCTTCCGCTAGGGCACACAATCAGCCATACTAGGCCACAGCCTCAAACCATCAGATGATTCCCACCAGCACCAGACAAGCAGAGCAATGAGCTTGCCACACAAAGCCAGACTCAAAGCAGTACAGGGACAGCCTGCCCCACCCCTGGAACCCCAGCACAAGGCCAAGCACACAGCAGGGGCAAACACTCAGATCAGCAGACAGAGCAGGAGGGTGCTTTGTGGAGGGAGGTGGAAGTTGCACAGGGAGAATCCCAACGGTGAGCACTGGGTACAGGCTCCAGGCTGCTCAAACTCAGGGCCAGAGTAAGAGTCCACTGCACATGCACCCACAGCCCTTCAGGCAAGACCTAGTTCAACCCCAGGAGGGCCACTCCCCACACTCAAGGGCAGGGGGAGGGGGCGGGAGGGGTGGTTTCAGCCCATGCCAGAGCTGCCCAGATGACCTCTAGCACTACCTGTTGCTCAGCCAAGGCCAACACCAACCCCCCCCACCTGAGCCCCTCTCAGTCCTGCCACCTGGGAGCCAGTGGGTGAAAGCACACTTGATGAATGGATGGCCTTGCCTTCTCCAAAGGGGTCCTTGGGCAAGGAAGGCTTCCCTTCCAAGAAAGAGTCGCAGAGAGGCTCAGGCCCAAAACCTGAGGAGAGGGGGTCAGGTGGGGGGCGGGGTTAGACCTGGGACTACCTGGTCGGTGGTTGAAGGGTGAGGGTGCATCGCAGCTGCCCGCAGAGGCCGACGCAACTCGTTCCTGCTGCTTGAAGAACTCCCGTGGGTTGTCAGGCCGCTGGGCAATAATGGCTGCTGCCTCCTAGGGGCACAAAGAAAGGGTGAGAGCCAGGCCCAGCTAAGGCAAGCCCTGCCCACCTCACTTTGTCCTGCTCCCCCAACTCTCACCTCTACCTCCGATTCTGACTTCTTCATCTGGGTCTCTTCTTCTTCATCCCGCTGGTCACCCTGAAACCAAAAAGACAGTGTCCTGGTCATCCCACTCTCCCAGGAGCTCTTGGCCTTCTTACAGGCCTCATGTTTTCTCCACAACCTGGCAGGAAGCAGCTTGGGGGCGGCACCCCTGCTCCCTTCACTACCCAGTCACATAGTCCCTTTATCTACAAGGCCCTCAGCCACCTCATCTCCAGCTCAGACAGGCCCTGGGTACCCAGCTCAGGGACTCCTGCACCATCACCCTGAGATCCAACAGGCATCCAGGGTCATTCAGGAGTGCTCCCTGCTTTGTAGCTAACTTTTCCTGGACCTCCTACCTCAGTACCTAGCCAACCACACCCCCATCACTGATGCCTGGATCTTGGCATTATGACAGGAGGCTTCTCATTAGTCCCATATCCTTGCTCTCTTCCCATAAAAAGATTTTTTCCAAAATCCAAATCAGACCATGATTTCTCCTAGCTTAACATCCCTTGGGGAGCTTCTCATGAGCCGGAGTGAGTACTAGCTGAGTATGGCCCACAGACGGCTTTTGTTTTGCCAGTATGATGTTTTTATTATTTTTTTTAATGTTTATTCATTTATTTTGAGAGAGAGAAAGTGCATGTATACACACGGGGTAGAGGCAGAGAGAGAGGGAGAGAGAATCCCAAGGAGGCTCCACTCTCGGTGTAGAGCCCGATATGGGGCTCCATCCACGACCTGAGCTAAAGTTAGAGGAGTCGGACACTTAACCGAGTCACCCAGGCACCCCCAGTATGATGTTTTTAAAACATTAGTTGCTACCACTTAAAAATCAGGAGTATCAGACCGAAATCAGGATCTCTAGTTTCCCCTGAAATGCCAGAAGCCCTGGCAACAATGGCCCGTGTGCTCTTGGCCAGAGCTGTACTGCTGGAACCCTCACCCCAGCTTGCTGCAGACCATCCCCTACTGCACTTCACTAGCTACCTGCACTGTACAGTTTTGAGGCCGCAACCCCAGGAGTAAAGGCAGATGGGGCTCATTGTTTATCCTACATTCCCTTTCGCTTGCCTGATCTAGCCCGTCACCTCTCTCACACCCTCCTCCCGCCGTGACTCACCCACACTACCTGTAAGATGAAACACAAAGTCCTCAGCACAATGTAGTCACAGTTCCTGGAACACGCACACCATTTCCCACCTCCATGCCTTCACACGGGAGATCAATCCCTCTTGCCCCAAATGCCCAACTTCCACCCCAGGTTCAACTCTTCCTGCTTTCAGCCTCAGCTTGGCACTGCCTCCTGAACAAAAGGACCCTCGCCCATTCAGGTCATTTTTGGGTCTCCATGAGGTGTTCCAGGCATACACCACATATGACACTATATCATAATTTCCTTTTTCTGGGATCATCACCCCTGCCCCCTGTGGGTGACACAGGCTGAGAAGTCAGATCTGTGTGTGAGTGGCCAGCACATGGTTCAGTTGGCACACATTTGCACAACTGAACTCACTACATCAAAGATTTTTAATCAGTGCTGCTCCTGCTACTATTGTGGCAAATGGGGTAGGTTGGGGGAGGGGACTGATGCAGAGAGAATAAGCTGCAGGTAAGGTGGTGAAGTTACAGAGCTTCTTTGTTTTGAGCACATAATCTAAAACTTAAATTTTCCCCTCAGGATACATTAAGAAAATGGCCCTCCAAAGTACCCCTCAAGATGGATGTCACTCCAACCACAGCTTTGTGTCTTCCAGAATGAAATCTAAAGTCCTCCTCTGACCTACCTCTCTCTATTTCCATTCATATCTCCCTTGCTCCTCAGCTCACTCGGCTCCAGGCAGGGTCCTTGCCTTCCTATAAATTACATGCCACCAGCCTTTGATGATGTTCCAGCACTGGCTAGTGTAACCTCACTAGAGTCCTTTGCCAGATTCAAAAAAAGGACTAGAGGCAAGCTCATCACAAAAGCCTTAACTACCAACAACGTGCAAAACACTGAAACAAATTAGGGCTCTGGGTAGGAAAGTGAGACCAATACACTAATCATAGGGTCAAAAGCACTGCTGTGCCTGAGCAGCTTCAGATACATGGGGAGCTCCCTGGCAGCCCAGGCAAAAACGGAACTCAGTATAAGGAATGCAATTCTTAACAGAGGACAGAAAGCAGAACAGCTTAAGCAAGGAGAAAGCATTTTATGGTCCTAAATTCCAAAATTCACACACGGGACTGTCTTTAAAGTCCTGCAGTTGTAGGGTCACCACACTGACCTGCTAGAGCATCCACTGTCACTGTCACATGAGCCACACTTGAAGGGCCAGACGAGACTCTAATGTAATGGTAATGGTGTTAAGACTTCTAAGACTTTGACTAAAATGCTGACAACTGGTGAAGATGAGTGATCAGGGGATTCACTCTACTACTGTTTCTACTTCTGAGTGCGTGTGTGTGAAATTTTCTGTCAAAATCAACTTTTTCAAAATGACCTTGCTCTGAATGGGTAAACAAAATGTGGTGTATACATACAATGGAGTATTATCAGCCTTAAAAAGGAAGACATTCTGACACATGGATGAACCTTGAAAACACTGCGAAGTGAAATAACCTAGTCACAAAAGGAAAAAATATTACATGATTCCATTCAAATGAGGTACTTCAGAGGCATCAAATTCATACAAAGTAGAAAGGCAGTTGCCTGAGGTCTGGGGAAACAGAGAATGGGGAGTTTAATGTTTAATGCAGACAGAGTTTCAGTATGGGAAGATGAAATTTTTGAGGATAAATAGTGATGACAGTTGTACAATACGAACATATTGGCAATCTTAATACCACTAAGCTGTACGCTTAAAAAATGGTTAAGGTGGCACATTTTATGTTACATACGTTTCGGCACAATTCAAAATAAGCGGATTCACTGATTAATTTTGAAAAAAATCTTGCCCACCTTGTTCTCCACTGTTTCGAACACCTGGCACATGGCAGGTGACAAATGTTTGCTGAATGAACGATTGCAGGTGGAGCTTACTAACCACACATCATCTCCGCCCCGAGGGGCTACTGTGATTAGAGTGAACTATGACAGCCACTTCATGCCAGGGCCTCTGCAGGGCTGACCGGTCTCCTCCTTCCCAGCCTCCTGTGAGTTTGACCCTGTGTCCCCGCAGCACAAATGGCCATCATAGTCCCAATCCAGATGAGTAGTACCCACCTCCCATCCTGAACTATACCATGTTCAGCCCTGAACGACTTTAGCTATTGCTGAAATACAAAATTCAATTCAAAGCATGAAGACTCAACTCCACTATGATTTTCAAAGGGTCAGGTCCCACGGCCCATCCCAATGTTTGGATGTCAGACGGCACCCTCGGAACAGGGGCTACTCTAAAGGAGATACTACAGATGCTCAGAGCACTGGCCCGGGCTCATTCATGTGGCTCTGCAGCACAACTGTGGTGGCGACCATGCCGCCAGAACCCAAAGTGCAGGAAGTGTGCCCAATCTACCCCAAGCCTTTTAGGCTCCACTGGGAGGGGTAGAGGGAGGCTGGTCAGTGAAGGTCATGGTAGATTTTCTCTTCTATTCTATAAAAGAAGCTTCTTCCAAGGAGGTTTCTTTCCACAGCCAAGGAACAGAGGCCCACATGATCAGGTGGCAGGCCTGACACACTGTGATACTCCATGTCCATGCAAAGGTACCCTGAACACCTGGAACTGTCCCCAAGCCACGGATATCCCCCCGCCCCTCCCGCGAAGCCCAGGAACACAAGGACCATTCTCACTTCCCCTCACTAGGAGACTGGGAGCCCTGGCTAAAAACTTACAAAGATAGACTGCTCTTTCAACCGCCGCTTGGCCTCCTCAGCTTCTAACGTCTGCTGTTTCCTCCTGGAACGATAAGCCAGCATGCACACCTGAGGGTGGGTCCACTGAAGGCCTGGAGCATGTGGCCTGGAGTGGGGCAGGGCCGACCTGTGCTCCTCTATCTGCTGTTCCCGCTCTCGGTAGCGCCGTTCCCGCTCCTCCTGCTCCTGCCGCTCCTGCTCCATCCGCTCTTGCTCAAACCGGAGTCTCTCATCCAGAGCTTTCTTCCGCTCTTCCTCCTTCCTCAGCTCTTCCTCCTTCTGCAACCCCCCACGCCAAGGCAGTGCAGGCCCTGAGCTGGGGCCCGCCTCTGCCCCTCCAGCCCATCCCCAACCCAGGATTGGGGAGGTACCAGTTCTGGGATTTATGCCCTATAGGCATAAAGCCAAAAGGGCTCCCTCTTTCAGCTGGGGTAGCAAACAAGATGGAACACATTGTTTAAGGGAAGGACCTGGGGATAGAAGCCAGAGCTATGCCTTGGGGTAGGGTCAGGGAGGGGCAGCTCAGCCTGAAAGCTGGCGCCAAGGTCCACACCTTGGCTTGCTCCCAGAACTGCTCGCGGTTAATCCGCTTCATTTCCACAGCTGCATCAGTTTTCTGATAGGTGGTGCCCTGCAAAGTCAAATGGCTTGGCATGAGTGGGGAGAATGGGCTGAGTGCTCCGGGAGCTGCCATACACAAAGGGTGAAGACCGAGAGAGGTGGGGCAGGTGCAGCCCTGGCAGGGCCAGCCTGCCCCAGGCACACTGACCACCGGCTCAGCGTTCTCATCCTCACGTAGCCGCAGTCGGTGCAGCACGGGGCTGGAGAGCCGTGCTAGCCCATTGGAGAGTCGCTGCCCGATGGCACCCGCATCTATGTCTTCCACGCTGCTGGCGTTCACAATCACGTCGACACCCTGCAGCAAGAAGTCGTGTTCAGGCAGCATGGCTCTGTCCCATCACTACCACCAGCCAGTGCAGAGACCCTGCTCCCACAAGCCCCAACCCCACTCGCACCTGGAAGAATTCAGCCACCTTAGCCACGTGGCTGGCACAAGCGCATTTGCGGGCATCAGGCACATCTTCACCAACCTGCAAAGTACCCAGGGAAGAGGAGGTCGGGAAAGAACAAGAGGGGTCAGCAGCCTGAGGCCCCGGGGTCTCTTTCCAGGGGGCTAGTGGGGCGCTCTCTGGTGGTGTCAGTGGGTGAAGTGGGGACTTTACTCCCTTCCCAGCCCATAGCTGCATACCCAGTTGATGAGCACATATTTTGGCAGAGCAGCCTGGGAGTCCTTGACGCTGCAGAAGCCGTACATCACCTTCTGGTTCTCAAAGTGGCCGGAGAGCTCCTGCAAACCCCCATCTGGGGGAATCAGGAGGGTATCAGGACTCTCCATCTCCTGAACCCTTACCCTGCAAAGGGCCTGGAGCCCGAAGGAAAGACTCCTCTCGTGGGCTCTGCAGGCACACCCAGAGATCTGGAGGCCCCGCAGTTCTGTGCTGGTGTGAGACAGGGCCAGCAGGCAGGAGCGAGCTTTGTCTCTGAAACCCCTGGGGCCTGACTTAGGGTAGGACTGAGGAAGTGTTTGTTCTTCACACATCCCTTGTCTCACTGTTCACACACCATCTCTTACACCGTGCTAGTGCCCGCTGAGGTAAAATTTAAAACCCCTGGGTTCCCGAGAAAGTGGAAGTGATCCGGGCCATACCTGCCAGGCCCCTTCTCTCCTAGCTGAGTGACTTTGGACAGTCACTCTCCCTTTCTGAGGCTCACTCTTCTTATAATCAAATAGCAAGCAAGGCTCCCTCCCTCCCCACCCTGGGGATCTTAGGGATGGCTGGAGGAAGGACACAGGCAGACAAGTGTGGGTCGACTGGCTGCAAGCAAGGAGATGGCATGCAGCCAGGCGGGTGGGGAAGAAAACAACCAGAGGAGGGGGAGGAGAGAAAGGCAAAGGAATGGCTGGAATTCTTACCTCCTGATGCTGCAAGCTTGAGGTCATCTGAGCCATCCTCATATGTGTACAGAGCCCTGGGGAAAGGGAGGGGTGGCTCAGAGTACTGTCAGGGCCCAGGCTGCCAATTTTGGGTGGGGATGGCTCTGGGGAGGAGGAGGAACACAGAGGGGGCAGGCCAAGAGTATGGATTCTGGCCCAGCACTGCCATGTCATCACGACAGCAGGGCTAGGCACCAATTCTGGCTGAAGCCCAGTGGGAGGCAGCCTGGGACCTGGGACAGGGAGGCCTGGGTCAGCCGGGGAGTAGGCAATGGGGCAGAAATCGCTGCCTAGTTGCTGGCTTTGAGGGAGCCTATGTGTCCCATGCTCAGAGCCTGGGCCCTGGCAGCCTACAACCCAGTGAGCGGGTGTGAGATGGGAGATTCCAAGGCGACGGTTCCTTGGTTACCGTTCCCTGGCTACCATGATCCTCATCCTCCATTGGCTGTCGCCAGGAACCTACCTGGCGTGTTCTTCAGTACCCACGGCCCCTCCTCCCATGGCAAGGGAGGGGGAGGAGAGAGAACCTGGTGCTCTCTTCGATGGGCATCCCTGGGTAACCATGGCAACCTGGCAATTGGCACATGACTGGCCCACCCTACCCACATTCTCCTGAACACAAAGGACCCTGGGGACATGGCTTTGGCCTCAATCTTGGCCTCTCAGAAATGGGGATGAGGTCAACGTGGCCACTCTTGTCACTCTTGCCCAGACTCAGACCCCTGGCATGTTCTCCTGGCCTTCCAGGCCCTAGGCCTCTACCAGAGCTGAGGCCCTAGCCTCCCGGGAATGCTGGCCTTTCCTTCTGCCTTAGCTTCACCAGAAAGCTGACTGTAGCAGCCTTCTTCCTTCCCCCTCCTTAGCTTTTTCTGCCCTGGCTTTTTCTCCCCAAGCAGCAGTGGCACAGCATCCATTTCGCGCAAGGGAAGGCAGAGACGTTTCCTGAGAACCCACTGGAGCGAGGAAGAAGAGCCTTGTCCCGGAGGCTCAAGAGGTCTCAAGCTCCTTCTCCACGCTTTCCTTTCTCTACTCCCAGAACAAGTGGAGGAGGCTAGGAGCTAGAAGAAGGGGAGGCAAGGTGATGGAGAAGAGAAAGGGAGGGGGAAACAGAAAGAAAGGAGGAAGAAAGAGAAAAGAAAGGAAGTGAAGGGATGAAGAGAAAACGAAAGACAGGGAGCGAGGGAAGAAAGGGGGAGGGAGAGCGGGAAGAGGAAGGAGGGGGAGAGAAGGAGGGGGAGAGAAGAAGGGGGAGGGAGGGAGGAAGGAAGGAGGAGGGCCCAGGGAAGGAAGGAGGGCCTGGCCCAGTCTCAAGGGGTCAGCACAAGTCAGGATCCCTAGCCCCCTGCTTCTTGGGATTCCCCCCCTCCAGAAAGGGACACAGGTGGGCTGTGGAGCTGGGAGCTCCTGGTCCAACTGTTGCCTGGGCCCCAACCCTGGCAGCTGCTTCCCAGCACAGCTGTCCCACCACCTGTCTGGCTACCCTAACCCACCACTGGGAACAAAGGGCCCTCAGAGAAGCAGGGAGAGTCTGTCTGTCTCCATTCTGCAGACCAGAAATGGAGGCAGAACTCAAAGACCCTGGCTGCCAGACACTGCTCTAGATATCACATCTCGCTGGAACAACTTGTCAGCCTCACTGGGGGCCCTTGCTCCCCACAAGAACACCTGCCTGCCAAGGACCCCTTCCGCCCCAACCCTTGTCTACCCACCTCTGGCCATCTTTTCCTGCTATGGCCACAGCCCTTGCCTGGCAGAAACCATGCCTAAGTTGCAGGCCTTCAACCCTGAGCTCCGCCCCACCTGTCTTTCCAGCCAGACATCCATATCCACACCAAACACTTGGGGTGTGCTGGATGGCTCCCTTATCCCAAACACAATTCTGGATATTTCCCACCCTGGAGCCTCTGCATATGTGGTTCCCTCCACAGGAAGGCCAGACTTAGTTCTCTACCCCACTGCCCACCCTTGGCTGAAATCCTTCAGGGCCCCCAGTGCCAGCTCCCAAGAAAGCCCTGCCCTAAGCTGCACCTTCCCAGAGCACTTACCACACCCCAGCAGGGACAGCAAGAGGCATCTGAACCCATCCTAGCTTTCACTAGACCTGAGCTCCTCCAACACATCAGAGGCAGCCTGGGCCTGCATGGGTGGGAGCTGGTGACACCACAAGGTATCAGGAAGGGAGGCCCAGGAATCTACCTGTCTTACCAGCTCCAACCCCTGAAGACAGACAATACCCTAGCTGTAAGCTTTGTGAAGCTGAGCATTTGATTTGGTCAATCCACACTTATCACTCCCTGGGTTCCAAGACCAGCATAGGGCAGCAACAGTAGGTACCTGTGATACTGACACAAACTCTGAGAAACCACCTAGGCCAGAGACACTGGACTAGGGTGGGGTGGGGACTGGAGTGTAGCCACTCCAGGGAGATCCTGAGTTCAGCTGAGGTGGGGGACCAAAGGCAGGTGGACTCTTCAGGACAATCCCACTCTCAGGATATTGCAGCTGGAAGGGCCTTGGGGGTCCCAGATATGGTGGAGTCCTGTCGCCTCTTCATCTTTTCAAAAAGACCAGAGGGGAGCAGACACTTTGTGTGTGGTCACACAGTGAGTAGTGTCACACCCAGGACAACACTTGCTCTTCCCACTACATAACCTGACTTCCTGGGCCCAGTGCCAGGGCAGTGGTCCATTTCAGAGGCTCTGCCACCTAGGAGTGAGCTCCCCCATCCCCTTCCCTCCCACTCAGAGGCAAGGTAAGTGAAGGCAGTGCCAAGCCCCTTGACCAAGACAGCAACTGTACCCAAGATGCCCTCCTCTGGCCTCCTAGTGCAGGGTCTGCCCATGAGTCTTGAGACCCCACTGTACCCCTGGCTCGGTACTGGGCTTTGGGGAATTCATGGCCCACTCTGTAGGATATGATTCTCACACTCTTTTTACAAAATGCTATCTGGGCCCTTGGGAGTGAGCAAATGTGTGCATGTGCGAGGGTGCGTGTCTGCGTGTGTGTGTGTGTGTGTGTGTGTGTGTGTGTGTGTGTGTCCCACACACAACCCAGATGGGGGGGGTGACGCATGCCAGTGATGAATAACTTGCTTTGGCCACATGGATGCTGCTGGGCTTTGGGAGCCCAGGCCTCGGCTAAGCAGGATGTGAGCGAGCAGTGGTTGTGTGGCCCTGTACTAGGCCGCCAGAGCCCAATTTCTGGGAGGTTAGGGGGGAAATGGGGTGATGGCAGACACTAACCACCAGACCGGAGGGTGAGGGGGACGTCTTAGGGTGGGCTGTGCCTCTCTGCAGACAGGGCCCATATCCCAAGGCTAACTCCTCCACCAGGCCAAGCCGGCCACTTGCCCTGAACTCCTCCCATGATCTCAGCCCCCTTGGGGCAGGGCTGGGACAATAGGTGGGCCGCCTGCCCACTTAGCCTGTGCTGGCCTCTCCTGTGACTGACCTGCAGGACATGAGAGCTTGTCTCCTGCGTCCATCCCTCCAGGCCTGGCTGCCAGCCAGTGCTGCAGTACCATGGCATGGGCGCCTGGCCATCTTGCCCCTCCTCCAGCCCCCAGGTCAGTGTCCCTACCCAACTGCCCTCCTAAGGTGAGGGTGAAGCCAGCCCAGGTGAGGTCCCTCACGCCTATCCTCTCTCTGTGCCTCAGTTTCCTGCCTGTCAGGAGAAGAGCAGGCCTAGAGAACAGAATGGGTACCTGTCCCAGGAGAGAGTATTTTGGGGCAAGATGATTCCTGAATGGGGCAGTTTGCTTTCCTGCCACCCAGGGGACTCCAGAGGGAGAGCAGGTGGCCCATCCCCTCATACAGCTCAGGGGAAGACAACAGCTGGGGAAGCAGGAGAGGGTAGTTCAGCTTTCCCCCACCAGGGAGCTGAGAGTCCCTGGCCACTGGGCCATGAGGCTTAGGGGCTCAGTGCATCTACTCACCCTCTCATCCCTCTTTGGGGGTTCCCTCCACACTTGTGCGCCTGAGGGCTTCCTCCCAGGAACCCCAGATGGCCACCTAGCCAGGCAGTTCAGTCCCCGTTGCATCTCCCAGCCCTGATGCCTAGTCCCCACAATCCCCTCCGGGTCGGGTCGGAGAGAAGAGGACTCATCTCTGCCTCCTCCACGACCCCTGAGGGGAACAGGAGTCACTGGGTGATTGCTATGTGGCAAAGAACGTCTTTCCATCACACCCCAACTCCGAGAGGCCCCCCGGTGGGCGGGGCGCCCCGGCCCCCAGCCCGCCCTGCTCCTCCCCCGCCCTAGCTTTCCTTTGTGCTGTGGCCGGGCCGGGCTGGGCAAGGCAGGCTGCGCTGGCTCCGCTAGCTCGGTCCCCGCCTCGTCCCCGCCCGGTCTTCGCCCGCTCGAAGGTGGCGAAGGTGCCCTTGGCCGCCCCGTGCACACCTGTCCCCCGGGCCCGGGGCGGAAGGGCAGAGGGCGGGGGATGGGCTACCGCAGGGCCATGCGGCCCCGGACCACACATCTGGGACCCTGCCTCTCCCTGACCTGCGTCGGGCCACCGCTCCCACCGCGAGACTCGGGCCGCCTGTGGGAGCTCGGGCCCGGCAGTGCCCCGCCTGGCCCGGCCCGGCCCCTCCCCCGGCACGCACAAAGGCAGCCCCTCCCTGGCCCTCCCGGGCCGCTGCACCATTTCGGGGTCTCCCCCTCCCTTCCCGGCTGCAGGGCGGCGGAGCCGGGTGGAAACAAAGGCGCGGCGGCGGCGGCGCGGGGACAAAGGGGCCGGGGGGGGGCGGGGGCGGGGGGCTCACCAGTCGGCCGCGCTCTCCTCCCGAATCACCTCCTCGTACGCCGCCAGCAGCTCCAGGCGGTGGCCGCTGAAGCTGACGCCAGCCATGCTGCTGGCCGGACCGAGACCGAACGGACAGACGCACAGACGGACGGACGGCCAGAGGAGCAGGGAAGGAAAGAAGGAGTCGCCGCCGCTGCCGCCTCGGAGCCTCTGCAGCGTTGCGAGCCGAGCGAGCCAGCGGCCGGGGGGAGGGGAGCCGGCCGGCGGGGGGCGGGGGGCGCAGGCTCCGCCCGGCTCGCTCCCTCCGCGCGCTCGGTCCTAGCGCCGCCCTGGCCCGGCGCAGGGGGAGGCCCGCCCCCCCTTCCCGGCCTGCCCCGGGGCGCCCCCACGCCCCTCACCCACAGCCCCTGCACTCTTCGCCCGGGAGCGGGTCTGCCCTTCAGCTCTCAAGGCGCGTCCCACCCACGTCCTAAAACCTCGCCTACAGTGTTCCCAACGTAGGCGCTCACCCACTTCTCCAGCCCTTTACCCAGCCGAGACCCTACCTCACCACACTTACCGTATGCAACCACTACCCAGGCCCAGCTTCACCCCTCTTCTTTCCAGCTCCTTGTCCCAGTTCCAAACCCACTTCATTCCATTCGGGCCCAGCCCCACTCAGCCCCACTCCGTGCTTCATTTCTCTTCGTCCCAGCCTCACCGTCATCCCAAACCAGTTTAAACCCATTTCTGTCCCAACCCCCTAACCCAACCCAATTGGACCAGCCACCCTGGCCCATCTGCAGCTCATCCCCACCTCCGAAGGGCCCATTCCTAGTCCATCCCCATCACTATCCACTGTCACTTGTGTCTCCACCCCAAATCCAATTTCTTTCCCTGCCTACTCCCACCCCATACTCAGCCCACACCTCCAAACATTCACAGTCAGCCATCGCTAGCAGCACCTTACTCAGTCCAGCCTACCCTATTCCCATTGGGATCTCAGTTCCTAACCACACCCCTCCATCCCTGCTTCCTTGACCATGCCCAGCCCCAACCCAGCTCATTACCCCAGCATTCTGATCTTCTTCCCCATCCCTGCTCCACCTCTATTCTGAGCACTCCTCCCTTACTTGCTGCCTCCAAATAGGGCCAGCCTAGGAATTCCTTTGCCTTCTCTCCCAAGCCTCAGGCCTCTCAGAGGAATCCCAAATAGAGTTCCGGAAGCAGGGAGGCAGCGTCTAACCCCAGACTCCCAGGGCAGGGCTCCTCCAAGGACACTCCAGGGCCAGTCCCCCTGGCACCTTTGTTTCCCAGAGCTCTGAGCACAGAAGTCCCCTGTGTGGGGGTGAGCACCATTGCCAGGGCCTCCTGGAACATCTCCACTCCTTGCTGAGGTGAGACCCTGAAACCCTCCTCGGCTCTAAGAAGCCTTTTCCATCTCCTACAAAGCCTCCCACCCCCATCTTCTGTGGGAAGGTGACAGAAACAAGCCAACTTTACTTGGTCCAGTCCAGGAAGTAGAGAGGTGGTCCCCAGCTGGGCCTCTGAGTTCTGAGTTGGGCAATCAATTATTCTGAGGAGAACAGTTTGAGTGGATCAGCAGTGAATCCTGGTACTTTGGAGTAGGAATAAAACCCCAAACATTTCACAGACACCTGCCTGGGGAACTCTGCACCTACTATGCCCGGGACCCCTGGTCCCGGCAGTTTCTCCATAGCCCCCACTTGGAACAAGGCCCAGGCAGGGTCCCTGGGATTCTAGGGAGTCCCTGGGATTCCTCTAGGGAGGAGACCACAGCAGGGCTGAAGGATGCCTGGGAAGGGTAGGTAGAGGGATCTCAGGCCTCATGCCCCTCCTGCTTCCTTTGACATGTCCTAGCCCAGGACTCCCCACCACTTCCTCATCACCAGCCTCCCGCTCAGTCAGTTTCACATGCAAAAAACAGAAGTCCAATGAGCATGCTCTCCCTTCCTCAAATTCCTGCCTCCCCCCAGCCACCTACAACTCTCTCCAGCCACCCCATTCTCACCTCTTTGCCATCCTTATTTTTAAATAAACTTTTAATTTTAGAACAGTTTTAAATTTACAGAGAAATTACAAAGATAGTACAGAGTCCTCACATGTCCCATGCCCCGTTTTCTCTATTTTCAGGAGAGAAAGAGGGTTCCCGGCTTACATGCCCTGGAGCCCACTCTTTCTGATCTTCTCACCCTTCATCCCTCTGCATCATCATCATCATATAATTTGTATATCAGCAATCTGTCTCCTCCTGCTCCTGTTGTCCCTGGTATCATTCCAGCCAAGGTCACTAGTGACCCTTAAGTTGCCCAAATTCAGTGGCACCATTGTCATCTTCAGTTTTCTTGACCAGTGAGAGGAAGGTCACACTGATCACTCTCTCCTCTGTGCATCCGCCTTCCTTCAGCCACCTGCTGTCCCTGAAATGAACCCAGAAGCCCACCTGGTGGCTGGGTGTGTGCTGAGTGCCTCCTTGGAGGTTCTGCCACCAGGCTTTCCTGTCTACCACTCCCAGCACTGATCACCCTTCAGGTCACTAACATATCAGGTCTCTCCCATCCTCAAAGCACAAGCTCCCCTCCACACTGGTAGGCTGGTCCAGTGGCTTCTGGGTCCCCAGAGTAGAAAAAACAAAAAAGAGGGAGGATTCAGATCCAGAAGCTGGCCGCTTGCTGTGTGACCTTGGCTAAAAGGCTTCCCCTCTCTGAGTTTCCTCTTTGATGAGGTGTAAGGATAAAATGTGACTAGATGGAGACTTGAAGGTGAGAAACCCCTTCCTTTCTCCTTGAAGCTTGGCTGTTCCCCATGCCCATCTTTCTGTTCTGTGCTTCTTTCTCTCTCTCTCTCTCCCTCTCTTTTTTTTTTGCATGTTTATTTATTATTGAGAGACAGAGACAGAGCATGAGTGGGGGAGGGGCAGAGAGAGATGGAGACAGAATCCGGAGCAGGCTCCAGGCTGTCAGCACGGAGCCAGATGCGGGGCTTGAACCCACAAACTGTGAGATCATGACCTGAGCCAAAGTCGGACACTTAACTGCCTGAGCCACCCAGGCGCCCCAGGGTTCTGTGCTTCTCAGCATCTCTTAGGGAAGGTTTTAAGGCTGATATGTTGGCCTCAGGACTTTTTCAGCATCAGCTGGTAGAGCCTTCTCTGTCCTTATCCTGCCTCTGCCAGGTTCCAACCAAGCAAAACTTCAAGAGTGCCTGTCATCGTTACAGTGCTTACAGCATTTCCCAGGCATCTGCCCCTAGGGGGTGGGAGTGCTCAGCCACTTCACCACATTAGCTCTGCTCCTGATAAGTCCATTGCTGTCACCACACAGACTTTGCTAACCATGTGTCCTTAGACTCATTGCTGGACATTTCTTGTCTCATTCATCTTCACCTATAAAATGGGGATGATCATGATGGTACCTACTCACAGGGTCTGTTTGAAGATTTTTAAAACATTTCTAGAGGGTTGCCTGGGTGGCTCAGTTGATTGAGCATCCAACTCTTGATTTCAGCTCAGGTCATGATCCCAGGATCATGGGATTGAGCCCTGCATCAGACTCCGAGTTGAGTGCTGAGCGTGGAGCCTGCTCAAGATTCTCTCTCTCTCCCTCTCTCTCTGCCCCTCCCCCCTGCTTGTGTGCACTCTGTCTCTCAAATAAAAAAAGTAACAAAGTTCTTTAAAAAAAATAAAGAGGGGCGCCTGGGTGGCGCAGTCGGTTAAGCGTCCGACTTCAGCCAGGTCACGATCTTGCGGTCCGTGAGTTCGAGCCCCGCGTCGGGCTCTGGGCTGATGGCTCAGAGCCTGGAGCCTGTTTCCAATTCTGTGTCTCCCTCTCTCTCTGCCCCTCCCCCGTTCATGCTCTGTCTCTCTCTGTCCCAAAAATAAATAAACGTTGAAAAAAAAATTAAAAAAAAATAAAGATAAAAAAGTATCTAGAAAGTGCTTAAAATGACAACTGCATACAGTAGGTGCTATTGATGTGTCAGCTGTTATTACTGTTTTACAGATGGGAAAACTGAGGCTCAGTGAGGGGCAGTGACTTGCCCAGAGGCATGCAGCTAGTGAGGAACAAATCCTGGATGGGAACCCAGGTCTATCCCATGTCACTTCACAACCATATGCTCTCCCTGCTTCCCCTCCTGTCACCCCCATTTCCAGGGGTGTGGCCTGGCTAGAATTCGGTCAGAAGTAGTTCTTGAGGCTATAGCTGTGGAGACTAGGGTGAGAGTCAGGGGGCCGGGGTCCTGGGTGTGGAGGGGAGGAAGTGTGCCCAGTGCCATCCCTATCCCTGTTTTCTGGCTGCTTTTCCACTACAGGCTCCAGAGGGGAGCATGGAGTCCACGCTGGTGGTCAGCTGCAGGGACTGCTTCAGGGATGGACATGTTTCCCAAGTCGGTCCAATGGGTGTTAGCTCTGAGCCTATTGCTGGAACCGTTAAGAAAGCTTCCACCTGGGCTACTGAGCCGGCAGGATGTGGGCCTGGGGCTGGTTGAGGGGCATCTTTGCCAATAATGGGGAGAGCCACCTGACAATACAGCCAGCATGAGGAAAACAGAGCTGAGACATGGAGAGCAAGCAAGAAAGCAAGCTCAGAGAGACTCCCACTGCCATTAACTTTTCTAGTTAAATGAGCCAAATTATTCCTGTTTTAGCTTAAACTCGTTTGAATGGCAGGAGTCCCTCCTAATCTACCCAAGTAGTAGTCACTTTTGTCAGTGACAGGGAAATGGGTGAAAGCTGAGTTGGCCTTTTAGTGTCCCACCCCGCCCCAGCCCTGAGTGGAAGGACCCAGTCCTGTCCTGGGTTCTTCCCTGGCCATTCGCAGTGACCTCACCACACAATCTCCCAGGGCTGGCCTGGCCCCGTGAGTTCTTCCCGGACTCCCAGCAAGCTTCTTGCTCCACTACGGCCCCTGGAGCCCTAGTCCTCCTCCCCCCTTTAGGCTCCATTGAGGAGGGGCCCTTCCTCCACTCACAGGGTTGTTGGAATCCGTGCACCGAGGGGCCCAGCCCTTTCCCCCATGGTCTCAGCTGCCTTCCCCTAGTAGGACTGCTTGGAGGGGTCCACGGGACTGTGCATGTTCCAAGACTACATCGGAGCCGGCACTGAG